CTTTGCCCTTTATGAAAAAGCACACATGGTTTTTTCCACTCTCGTTAAATCGTAGATTAACTGTTTTTTTGGAAAAGCTGAGTTCAGTTTCAGTAGCCATGTCCAGGTATGATTAATGAGAGAACTGCTGACTCAAGGAAAAGGAAAAGCTGCACATCATGCCACTATCTGAAGAAACTCAAGAACAAATATGAAACAAAGTCATTGATGTCTATCAGTCTCAATGCCACTTAAAAGGCTTTGAGACTTCAGTGAGTTCAGAGCCATGACTAATAGATGGAGAAAACTTTGATAAGTGGTAAGCCTTCCTATGAGTGGCCAGCCTACCAAAATAGATGACTCATCCAGGAGGACACAAAAGAACTCAGAACAACATCTAAAGAACTGCTTGAACCATGAATTCTGCTCTCTACCAGGAAAAACGTGTCCAGCTGACTGTTTGTACCCTGAAACTCACGCACACCTGGATCATGCAGTAGGACAATGATCCAACACACACCAGCACAAAAAAAAATAATAAATGAATAAATAAAATGAAGGTTCTGAATTGGCCCAAGTCTGGACTTAAAAGCTATTAAGTTGTTTTGGCATAACCTTAAACAGGCCCTTCATGCTCGAAAACCTCCCAGGTGGACAATTTAAAGCAGTTCTTTAAAGTGTGGGTCAAATTGTCTCCACAGTGATGTGAAAGACACATATCACAAAAGCTTGATTGGAGTTCTCTGCTGCCAAGAGTGGCACAACCAGCTAGGGGGCAATTACTTTTTCAGATAGGGCCAGGCCAGTTCAAAACCTGCATTTTGTACTTAATTGTTTTATCTCTGTGTAACATTAAAATGAAAGCGACTGCATTTATGAAGGCAGAGTCCAAAGCATGTCCTGCAAGGTGAATGGGGCCAAGCACATTCACACTCCTCGGTATCGCTGTCTGTTAAAGTCCAGACAATGATAATGCTGCCTCACTTAATAGTCAAAGATAAAAAGTCCTGAAAGTCTAAGATAAAAAGTGCAGCAGACACAAGTGGATGATATGTTAAAATACCATACAAAGTGTTAAGTCATCCAATTTTGGTTTTCACCATCTGAATGGAGTTTAAAGAGATCATCTGAGATAAAAATGAATTTTTAAAAATAGCAGCAGCACCACCTCCTCAGCCAGAAATCTGAACAGCTCCGAAAAAAGAGCAGCGTCGGGGACAAGGTTGTAAAAATTGTGAGACTTTGTTCTCACGCTGTCCTCCGTCAGAGATAAATATAAAGTCCAGCTTCTCATGTCAGATCAAGTCATTTTAGAATAAAATACATTTTGTGGCATTAATCGCCATCATTTTAGTATAGAGTCATGCAGACAGAAGTAGACCTCTTCAGTCTGTGGAGACACTTGGATTATATACTTTGTGACTTTGAATGAGCTTTTTAAAGTTTAACAAATAAACCAGATGATGCGATTTTTAAGAAAATACCAGGTGTATAGTTTGAGGCAATGTGAGGCGTTTTTATGTCAAGTTTAGCAGATTTATTGATCTCTATTTGTCTAGCAGACGTAAAACGACAGGAGTTGCTCCAAAGTGTTTTCTAGTCATGTCTCAGAAAACTGACATGAAAAATATTAGGTCCAGGTCGGAAAAATTAGGACAATGCAGGAGTGCATAAAAACAAGCACTCTATATGAAGGTACCAGATGGCGATAATTCTTGCTGGAAAAAGATGTTCAGTCATAAAGCAGTGGTAAAATGTCTGATTTTTCCTGTTGAGTTTATGAGTTGTCAAACACAAGTCATTAGCCAAAGACTTTATTCATTTTGTTTTGTTTCATTTTAGTAAGAAAATTAGCTGCTGCAGGCCAGGTGTCTCCCCTGCTGGTTGTTTAAAAAAAAGAGAGATTTAGGGTACTCCTGCTCGGCTTCATGTTTCAGACGCAGAAGCCATGATAATCTTTTATACTTTCCATGATTCACACTTTGCTGCAGCTACCATGTAAGATCCTTTCCTGTTTCCTTTCACTGTTTGTCTTTAAACACTTTGAAACGTGGACACAAGGATTTGTGGTTGACCAGCTTTCCCACCGGAAAACACATCAAACAATAATACAATAAGACAAAGGAAACCAATTTATGAGCATTATATGTGTAATTACAACATTCACAGTACAAAACATAAAAAGGTTTCGTGCATAACTTGTTGGACAAAGGGACAGTTTTTGTCAATTTGCCTTTAGACACCACTAAAGGTGATTTTAAATCAGCTTTGATTCATAAAGTTTTTATTTAAAAAAAATGTATTAAAGCATTAAAGTATTAGAATTAAGGTAAGTAAAAAAGGCTGTCACATGAAAAAAATGAGATAAGCCTGTCAGAGAGACAGAGAGCAAGAACTAGGACTACTAGGAGTAGCCAAAATAAATGAATGGGCCGGTCAGCTCAGCAACACCAAAAGACCTGAAAGACCACAGAATCAAGAGACGCCTTCATGAATGGAATTACTGAGTATTTACGATGAGGTCCAAACCAGTTGTTAAACTCAAGAACTGGAAGGCTAAATTACAGAAGAGTCTGCACAGTCCAGGAATAAAACAAAACAACAACAACAACAAAACAACTTTGGACAAATGAAATGAAAAAAAAAAAGAGGATCTTTATCAGAATGATGGAGATAAAAAAGTACAGTATGAAGAAGAAGAAAAAAAGCTCATGATCTGAAACATGCCACATATAGGCAATGTTATGGCAAAGGCATATATGGCTGCCAGTAGAACCAGGTCACTAGTGTTTTACTGGTGATGCAACTGCTGATAGGAGTAGCAGAATGAATTCACAGGGCTGTACTGCTCAGATCCAGCCAAATGATACAAAACTGACCAGACAGCTCTGCACAATGCAAATGGGGAAAGACCCAAAGTATACTCCAAAAACAACCCAGGAATCAAGGTAACATATCTCAACCCAACTGAGCATGCTTTTTAGTTATTAAATACAGATTAAATCCACAAAGAACTACAAACAAGCAGCAGCTGAAGGTTACTGCAGTAAAAGCTGCTCAGAGCATCTCAACAAACAGAGCATTTTATCATGTCAGTGGGTTCTAGACTTCAGACTTCTGAGTGCAGCGTTCAAAACAATGCCCATATGTAAAATGTTGTCTGTCCAGTTAACCTTGAGCCTCTGAAAATGGGGGGGAACTATATATAAAAATGGGTGTGATACTTAAACAGGTAATGCAAGATTTGTTTTATATAAAATGTCTTAATGTTGAAAATCTGCACTTCAATCACATATTGGTTGTTCGCTTTAAAATCCACTGTGGTGGTGCACAGAGGCAAAATTACAAAAATTGTCTTTGTCTAACAATTGTGGCCTTAACTGTAAAAGGTGTGTGCAGGACCTAATGTCTTGTTGGTCAGTACAGCTGCACCTTGAGAAAAATGTATCACTGACCAGAGGGAAGAATGCAAAACATGTTAGATATGAAACAGATCTTAAGTCGGTCAGTAAGATCTTTCTCCCACAGACAGATTGTCTCACATTAATCACACACACACACACTCTTATGAGTCTGGCTCATCCTGTTGTTTTTAACACAGGGAACTCCCCATTGTCTTCCTTGAACCATATTATTTGTATGCGTCGCTCTTGTTGACAAAGGAGGTCGATATATGGTTATTAATAGCAGGCTCGCTTTATGGAAAAGGGAAGCGTGAGGTCTTTGGATTCCACCATCTGCATTAAACAATACCTCATTCAGCAGCAGCTGGCAAAGGGACATAGAAATTTACTGATGTTAAGGCAGAACATTGGTGGAAATGAGGATTTTCTCTTTTTTTTCTTTCTTTTTTTTTGGGCCACTTCCTATTGGACACCATTAAGTGCAGCTGCGAGCCGTTTCAGATCTGTGACAGGGAATAATCCCAGCATGAGAAATAAATAGCTTATACAAAAACATGCTACTCCACATTTCTTAAATATCTCTGCGCTGCAGATGTGCTGATATTCCTGTGCTGGATTAAGAAAAGCGTCATAACCAAGCTCAAGGGAGTCTTAAAGTTCATGCAAACTATGTGTTATAAGGAAATAGTGCAGTCATAAAAGTCAGTGACAAAAACTTGTAAGATTCATCGAAGTTGTGACTCTCTGAAGGTTTAATTGCTGGTGTAAATGTGAGTGAGTGAATGTATGGTGTGTGTGTGTGTGTGTGTGTGTGTGTGTGTGTGTGTCTGATTCTGCCTCTTAGTCCTGTTGTTAAAGGGTGTTGCACGCCACAGTAAATCCCAGAGGTTGTTAGCACGCCCAGCTGCTTGTGCAGGTCTCCATGTTTCTGTCAGCGAGGTTGTTCACTGCAAACTCTTTCGCCTCTGATTGAGGAAATCCTCTGACTGTTTGCTCTGTTTGCTGAAATGAAACATCCCAATGGTTCCGCCATCTCTCCCACAGGCCCTGTACACAGAGACTTTCCCATGAAGACCACGCATGTTTACTAGGGTTTGACAGATATATAGCTCTTTGATGGGCCATAACAGTACCGGTGATTCTGTGCTAGCAGGGGGTCACGTTATAGACTGATCTAAAATACCCTGTTGTAATTTATTCCACGATAACACTGAGGGAAAACACTGAAACATAAACACAATAAAACACAGCAGGACAACCGAATACATATTACAAAACAAGGTTTATATGTAAAAACAACAAAAATTATTAAATACATTGTATTTTGAAAACTTGCACCTAAAAAACAGCCATTAATTTATGCGCTTATAAGGTTATTTAGTGATTTTAAATGGTCTGCCTCACTGTTTTAGCCATGCGACAGGCTGGCAAATTGTCCAGGGTGTACTCTGCCTCTTGCCTTATGGTTGTCTCTAGCATGAAAATATGCAACAAACATTTCACAAATCTAGGTCCTAAAATCAAGAAAATAATCATTATATTAATTCTAAATTAATTGTGTTTTAAACACAGTTTTAGAACCAAATGTGACCGCTTCATTGTCTTTTATGACTGTAATTTTGACCACAATTTATGAAATCAGCCCTATGTTGTGCTCAGTAGGACTTGAAACTAGCAAACGAGACCATAAACTCATCAGAAAGGTATTCACTGAGGTCATAGATGAAGAGAGCTAAAGGTCCATTTTCCTGTAGATGTCTGTGCAGTTACATTATTTCCAGTTATTGCTGGTTGTTGATCCTCTGTCCTTTCCACATGATCAGTATGACAAAAAGAACAAATTAAAATCAGTGATAAAATGAAACATATGTCATGATAACCACAAATTTAACAGCAAGTATGGGATAACAAACAGGACAAACTAGGAAAACATACCAACAAGAAAAAATCACAAGGAATAAGCAATAAAACCAAACTTAAAAGGGAAGATAGTGAAATAGTGGGACAGAATTTATTGCGGGAAACTGAGAAAATGTATCTAAATGAACACAAACACTTCCTCTAAACATCCAATAATGAACGCTTCCACATGGTGGGGAAGATTATTTTTCCTTCCCGTTTGATCTGGATAATGTCTTGTTTTGTTTTGGTCAGTTCTGTAACTGACTGAAATAAATCCTGTCTTTGTGAGGCACAACACGCTGCAGAGCTGCATCATGCTGCCTGTCCAATTGTTTATTTAAGGAAGCAAAAACCCCTCAAGTCTGTGCTGCTGGATTCTCACCTCAAGCCCTGGGCTTTGGCAGCCTGCTGACTCCTAAAGCTTGATTGTCCGAGCCTGAAACAGAACAGAGCAGTGTTAAGACGGTGTGCATTGTTCCCTAATTTCTTCTCTGGGATTTCCTTTTACCAGCTCTGCCCGCCCACCCTTCACTCTCCGTCATCCTCCCTCTCCTTCTGAAGGCCTTGCCAAGTTGTCTGGCACATGAAAACAATTGTTCTTGCATGTTTGAGGAGACGCAAGTGTCTCCTCGCATTGGCGAGCTTCTCCCCCGCCGAAGCTCAGCTGACGGTCAAACAGACAGACTTCCTCTACCTCCTCTTCCTCCTTTTTGGGAAAGCGTTCATGTTCAGTAAAATCAGAAGAAAGGTATCTGAGCCTGGAACCACTAAGTGACTCACAACTATCAATATCTTTGACATGCAGGTGGAGCCAGGGGCCATCTCTCCAGCCAGCGAGTGTTTGAAACATGCTGGAGCAGACTCTGAGAGCAAAAGCCATTAAAATATTACCATGTGCAGGTTTATGTCTAACAACAGCTCTCTGGCAAGACTACAAAATGATGAAGCTAAGCACCCATGTGGGAATCAGTCCTGGGCTCCCAGATGATGCTGAAAAATGCTTTACATCCTTCCTGTTTCTGGATCATCTATTTTAACTTTTTTCTATTTTATGTTAGTGAGGCAAGGACAGGAACACTTTGAGCTGCCGGAACTGTGATTTGTGTCTCATTTGCAAAGGTGTTTTCATAGACTGAGCTCAGTTGTACTCATTAAATTGTGCTTCCAAAATGTGCCACTTCCTCTTCTTAAGTAACTGTCAATCACCAAGAAGAACAATGAGATCTAAAATGACACCAGTTTTTCTCTACTTTTATTCATGAAGAAGTACCATAAATCTGTAGTGTACAATAAAGCGCTGAGCTTCTCAATGAGAATGACAAAGAAACACATTGTACACACACAGTGCAGGTTGAGCTTTGCATTTTATTGCACAATCAAACATTATTGTAGCATCTCATACCCAAGTCATGCAGCACTTATTTGGGGAAGTCCAAAACGCTTTCGCTTGAAAGTTTGGAAAAATAACCAATGTGTGAAAAATCCAGTATCCAGTTGGCTATACATGCAAAAAAAAAAGAGAAGAAAAATATAAAACCTTCCTTCAATGAAGATACATGATACAGCAGAAATAATTTACCTAATTTAGTAGAAAATGCTCTGTTTCTAGTAGTTTTAGGTAAGACAGCAGAGCTCCATCTATTATCGTCATGTCACAGAACATAAAACTGGCAGGAGGAGGTGGAACTGCCGTCTGGCTTCATTTAAGCTCCGCTAAAATTCTCTGCTGGGACTGGGATGTCCAAGGAGGAGGAAAAACTTACCAAAGTGAAGCGGTATCCCTTTGCAGTGATCTCCACGTGGATCCTCTGGACGCTCGCCTGTCAGACATGTTAAACAGATCCAGACTGATTTTTACTGACTTTACTTGAGTTCTTTGTTCCCGCCCTTTCCTTCTGATCATCTCCGCCATCTTTTTTTTTAATCTTTCATCTTAGTAAAAACTAAAAAATTGTTGATTTGATTGAACACTCAGTATTTTGTTCGCTCACTCTGAAAAGCATCATTAGAGATCCGTACATCTGGGTCCCAGTGCCGGATGATGTCAAGACTGGCGATGACCCAAAGCCCCGCCGCACAGAGAGTTCCTCAGAGAGGTCGGCTGCGTGTTGTTTTCCCTTCCTCTGCCTACGTGACATCTTCCTGCCGGGGGGAGCCTCAGGGAGCCATCTGAGGAGGCCCGGTCCCTGAGTGAGGAGGACAAATTCGACTTATCCTGACAGAGCAGGTGGGGGAGGGACAGCAAAGGAAACTCGGACCCCCAGCATGCACCTTTAGCTGCCTTAAAATTAACTTTCCATACAGCCTCCTGTTTCACCAGGGAGCCTTCTTCTGTCATTCGGAGGACTGAGTTTGCAGTCTTATTCAAAGAGATGCCAGAAGGGAACTTGGGCTCAGCTGTGTGTCGCTGAGCTGCAATCTGCCTTTTACAGCTTTCATTACAGACTGGAGAAGAAGCCCACAGAGACTGGGCGGCTTTTGCTTTGCAGCATTATGAAATACAGACACATGGCAAATTAAAGGAAAAAGTTGAACCCTTGACCCCTACAGGTAGGGGATGTTTTTTGTGCTGTGGGGAGCATTTCACAGCCACTATTTGGGTCTGGTTGTATTTTGATTTATTTATTTAGTTAGTTATTTTTCGGGGGATCATACTGGTTTAGATAAAGTTATTGAAGGCCACGCATTGGACAAATTAATCAAAAAATGTTTATAGGAAATAAAAGCACTGCAAACATAAATCAAACTAAATACTTAATAAGCATTTAAACTACTCTTCATCTTGCCAGTTATCTGGTGTGCATGTATGTGTCTTAGAGAAAAGCTGCACTACAAATCAAGTTACAGTTCTGAATTATCACCTTTATCCATTTAAAGCCTGTTTATCCTCATGGAAAGGTGTCCTTTGGGAGGATAATGCCCCCCTCCACTGGAGTATTATGATATCTACTGGAATGCTTGAAAAGGGATAATGTGATAGATATGTGATTGATATTGGCATAGCTATGGAGATTGTGGAAGAACATGTTAGACAGTGCTCTCCAACATCATCACCATCATCATAATCATCATTATCATCATCATCCTCAAAATGTCAAATGAGGGAAAATCTTTTGGAAGACTGGTTTTCCTTCCCTCCAGTAGATTTTCAGGGGCTCAGAGAACAAGTGCCAAGGGACACTGGAGCTTTTCTGACAGCATGTGGTGCCTGAACACTTTACTGGGACATTTTATGATAACATTTACTTTATCTGCATTTGTCAGTGAAAGTTATCTGAATTTGCTATGTGCTACAGAAACCAGAGTGCACAAAAAGATGGCAAACACAAGAGAAAGTTCTCTTTTGCTGCTGAAAACAAATAAAACAGTAATCATTTGTCATGCTGATAGCGATGTGAGAACCTGAATATCAAATACAGAGATGTTTCCTACTAATAAGAAATGACATGATAAAAAGATACATATATTGAAAATCTGCTCTGGGATTAAATTTGCGTCATTTGCAGTCACTAAGTGTCACTTAGCTTTCACTTCAATACTACACTGTGACCTCTGACCTCTCACCCCATCTCCCTGTCTTTTGGGCCCACAGCAGTGATTTATCCCTCTGACATACCAACAGCTGTGTTGGGGGCTCTGAACAGAGTGTGGGCTACTATTTGCCGTGACTAATCGATAACAGACTTCAAAAAAATACCAATCATGAGTTTTGGGAAAAACACACCACTCAGTGACACTGGAAACCCCGAACCTTTTGCCGTGGGTCTGCAAGGCTTCATAAACAACACACTGGCACCATCACTGTAAACAGTGGAAATGTTTGTATGTCTGACATCTTTCAGCAAAGACATAAAAAAAACATTTATACCTCCAAATTTGCTATTAGAGTCAATGTTTTCAAATGTTTATTAGAAAAGAGCAGCAATTTTGCAAACTGCAGCTGCTTATTGTTTAATTTGAAGTACTCTTTTTTTAAGTGGGTGGTGAAATAGAAGACCTCAACAGATTGTTGGTCTCAGATATATACACTCCATTAATCTCCTCTTTAGTGCAGGAAATCTGAACTACATTATGATATGATTCAAATCATTTTGTTTGTGTCAAATGTGTTGTTGTTGTTTTTTTTCTTTTAAAGACGGGAATTGTTTTTGTTTTATAAAATATACTTTATTTAAAATGTTGCCAACAAAAAAGACACCAAACAAAAAATAATCCACAACTTTTTTTAAAAAAAAAAAATGCACTGCATCTTTGAAAGGCTTGTGCGTAAATTTCCAGTCAAGTATAAATATCCCTTTCTTTGGTTCCATTATTTGATCCAGCATGTGTACAAGTAGATGAGCACGCTCTCCAAAACCAGCTTCGACTCTTCCCTGAGAAAGTCTTTGAGGGTTTTCAGGCTGTCAGTCATTCACTGGTCTTCAGTCAGCGCGTCATTCGCAGCGGACCAAGCCCTCGCATTTTCAAACAGTCTTTTCCATCTTTGATCTGGAAAGAAAGACATTCTTGGGTCATATATAAGCACTCCAAAAAAAACAAAAAAAACAAAAACAAAAAAATCTGCGCCATAAAGGCTTACAAAAGCGATGTCACGTGAATAAATGTAGTTCCTACAAATCAACAACTAAGTGTTTTGCGTGGCTCTGGTTTTCTTGCAGAATTAAAAAGACACTATGTGTGAGGAATTTAAAGTGATGGTTAAGAAATGCACTGTGTTATACTGCGAACAAACATCAGCATAAAAATACATAGGTTAAAAAATGAGCTGCACTGCTAAGTAATAGGCATGCTGCATTTCATTGCGCACGATTATTGAGTTAATATTGTTGGCATTTTTAACCCAGCAGTTAAATCTAAGTCTTTTAAATCGAGCTCTGACATATAAAACATTTACCCCTTTTCTCTGGTTGCTCAAACAGAAGGTGCAGATGGTCCGCGGCTGCTTCTCCCCAAACTCTCCTTGCGCATGGACCCCGCCGAGGCACGGCTGCCCATCTGCGCCACCGTCTCCAATCAGAAGCACGTTGGCCAGATGAGAAATGTAGCTGGATGCCAGTCGAAGAGTTTCAATCTTGGAGAGCTTTCTATCCACGGGCTCTGTGGGTATAAGAGTCCGGAGAGCCGTGAAAGCGGTGTTGACACTCTGCGTCCTGCCTCTCTCCCTGGCGTTAGCCGCGCTCCTCTGTTTCACGACCACCGCGGAGTCTCCTTCCAGTTTGCTGGAAATCCGTCTTCGTTTGTCGGTGGAGCTACAGTAACTTTGCTCCGAACTGCCATCGCTCTCGCTGCGGTTCTCATCGTCCTCGGAGGTGACAGTGAAGTCCGAGTAGATCATGTGCGTCGCCACAGGCCGCAGCATGGCAAAAGTCATCATTGAAAAAGTTACCAGTCCTTACTCCAGATCCGCTGTGCAACCAGTCGGAAAACAACCTCAGGGACCGTCCCTACCTACATCTCAATACGGCACAAAGCCTGCTACGTACAACCAAAAACGTACGGCTCTAATAAAGCTCACCAATTTCTCATAAGTCCGTTTTGCAGGGCCTATTCAGGGATGGACACAGACTACCTGGTCAGCTGGGCTCTTATAGCTGGATGGGAGGAGCTGACAGCAACATTTACAGTTACACTAGCCTCTCCAGTGAAACGGACTCAATAAACTGCGGTCCTTTCCACTTAAAGGGGAAACGTTAGGAGAGACTCAAGAGAGAGTTGTTAGAAGAAAAAGGGATCTCTGGAGACTCACAAACACAGTGTGGTCACCAAAAAGGTGGAGCATATGGGAATATGACATCTAATGTAATAGCAGTAGTAGCTAGTAGGAATAGTAGAATTTATTAAGTGGCATGGCAATGTTATATTTATTTACTTTAAACCACTTTAAATTATTCATTAAGTCTAAAAATATTAAAGTTTTTAATATCCTGATTTGCCTTGTATGTAAAACCAAACTAATAATTGTTAGTAAAGGGGAAGTGGGGTAAAAAACACTTATTTTACTCTATTTATTTTTGTTTAATTTTATTTGTACTTATTTTAACTGTAAAGTAGCATCACACAGAAGCATTCAAAGTACAAAGTGTAATACTGAACTAAATCTACTACATTCCAGTACTGAATCCCCATGCATGAGATGCAACCATTCTTAATTAATATATAATAAAAGCTTCATTAGAAGTTGCATGATTGGAAATGTTCAAAATTCAAAGCACTGATCAATGTGTAAAGCTTTAAAGGCATTTAGGTACTGAAGTTTGCTCTCTAGTTATTTTACAGTAAATTTGTTTCTGCCGCCCACCAAGGTCTGTTTCTGTGTGCTGGTGAAGCACATCGGTAAACACAAAAACTAAATTAACTTAAAGCATACACATGCAGTTTATAAAATGATTTCTCCACTGTCATATTTGGTAGTAGTAGTAGTAACAATAATAACAAGAATAAAGTATTTTTATTTTTATTTCTGCTTTGGGAGAATACATTAATTATATCTACTGCACAGCAACAAACAGATTTAGACTAGCTTGAGTAAATAATACTATTGTTGTGTCCCCATATTGAAAGCTGTTTTTAGCTCTTACTGAGGATCACAGGTCACAGTGGGAGAAAGTTAAGTAAGAGTAAACAAACAATGAACAGATGATCCTGGAATCACAAGAATTTACTCAGTTGCTGCCCATAGTTTAAAAAAACAAAGTGGTGCAAAACGGATGATGAAGCCACATGAGCAGGGGCAAGTCGGCAGCATGTTCAGCCACTTCAGTGTGTCTCAGCTGCATCAACAGTCAGACACCCAAACTGTCTACTGAGGGAGGGCTTACAAAACAAAATGAATCAAACACAGGACCCCGCAGAGCTAGAGGCTGTGTGAATGTTCAGCTTCAGAATTAAGATACTCTCTCCAGAGATTCAACTTCATCTGAATTAATTAAAAATATTATGAGCTACAGAAGATACGCAAAACGATTTTAATTTGTTTTGAAATCTGATGATCCAGTAATAACACATTAAAGGTCAACGAAGCCGCTCAACTATTAACCAACAAATTAGATTGCTGTACGGTTAATTACATCTATCGCAAAGTCTTGCCGGGAATTTATTATTATCTTTGTGCAGTATGTGAATTTGCAGCTGCTCCGGTTCACGTGCCCTACAGTAGTTTGTGAGAATTCTGACTTGGCACCAAGATTAAGCTTTCTGAGAACAACTCTCGCATTTCATGGAACTGTGATAGACTTTTGTGTCTTTGCAAAAAGGAGAAGCTCAAATTATCTAGAGTGATGAAGTAAAAGCATGTTGTGTTTGCCACCCACTGAGGTCTGTATCATTGCGCTTTAGATATCTCTGAGAACAGCAGATCACACAGATGAAGGTTTTCTGTGTGAGCACATTTTGCTGTTCTGCTGATGGCTGTCAGGGGTGCAGAATTCTGTATATAAGTTTGTGGTCTTTAAAGAGGATGAGAATTGGGACTAAGATCCTGTGATTTTTGTCTGGTGAGGCTGACATTTCTGGCTTTAGGTACAACCAGGTAACCAACGCTCATATGCTTACCTTTGTTTTAGGCCAGATTGTTGTTTCCTGTTGCGTAGCTTTCTAGTCCTTCCAGGTATTTCTCATGTCTTCCTCTTGCTAGTTCCTTTTTTTTATCCTAATGACTTGCGCTTTCCTGTATGATTCTATCCTTGAATTAAAATTATTTGAACTTTTTTTTTCTTTTGCTGGTGTCCTGCATTCAGGTTCTCTTTTTCTATGAGGTATCTAGTCTAATGAGTCTGGTGCTAAGTTAAAACAGCTTCTGATTGGACTTTCATGACATTTAGTACACACCCTTGGGATAAACAGAAATAAACCATTGATTTTCCTTTACCAAGGACCAGGCTGCATCTGTTATTAATGCCACACACCGACATTTTAAGAAGGTTGCATTTAGTGCAGGAACTGCTACTTACAGTCACACCATGCATTTTTTTCCTGTACAAAAACACTACTACTGCAACAAAACTTAGAAAATATACTTTGTTAAATAGATGTAAATTTACTAAAGCATGAAATGGTTAGTCATTTAAAAGTGGCTTTAACCTCCTAAGACCGAAACTCTTCCACGGCATGCATTTTTAATTTCTCTTTGATATTTTGGCTAATTGGGGCCCGATGAATGTAAAAACAAAGAATTACCAGATTTTTTTTTACCTTATTTTTGTTTTTAAGAAAAATGAGAGCCACATATGAGGATATT